AAGAGATATTAATACTCTAATAGATGTTACTCTAGTTACAGGTGAATAGGTATCAAAGAAATCAACATTCTCCCTTTGTCTGTAGCCTTTAGCTACCAAACGGGCTTTGAACTTATCAATGGTCCCATCAACTTTCAGCTTTCTTTTTAGGACCCATTTGCAACCAATTGACTTGCAGCCTGGTGGCAACTCAGTTAGATGCCAAGTTCGATTAGACTCAAGTGAGTCCATTTCGTCGTTCACGGCTTCTTGCCATAAATCTGCATCCACTGAGGTTAGAGCTTCTTGGAGGGTAGAAGGATCCTCCTCTACATTCAGAACTACAAAGTCTGGGCCGAAGTCTTTAGCTACTCTAGCCCGCTTGCTCTTTCTTAGTTCGGGTTCAGCATCCAAGTCTTGTGAGTTAGACCTGTCTTTAGGAATAATAGAGGAGGACGAGCCCCCACTATTTCTAGATTTAAAAGGAAACTTGTCCTCATAAAAATCAACATCATTAGATTCAATAATTACTCGTGCACTTAAATCAAAGAATCTATATGCTTTACTATTAACAGCATAGCCAATGAATACACATTCATAAGCTCTACTAGCTAACTTAACTCTTTTAGGATCAGGAATCCTAACATATGCCAGACAACCCCAAGTTCTGAAATAAGAAATGTTAGGTTGTTTGTTACGAAGTAATTCATAAGGAGAAATCTTACTCTTAGTCTTTGGAATACGGTTCAAGACATAACAAACAGTGAGAAGAATTTCTCCCCACCAATGATCAGCAGCACCAGAATTTAAGGAAATAGCAACTACTAACTCAGTAAAGGTTCTATTTTTCCTTTCAGCCTTACCATTCATTTCTGGAGAATAAGGAGCTGATCTTTCATGTATGATACCATGTGAGTTATAAAACTCTACAAAAGCATCAGTATCATACTCAGTTCCACGATCACTACGCAACCTTTTTATTTGCTTGTTGAACCGATTCTCAAACTCTGTCACAAACAACTTAAACATATCAAAAGCATCACTCTTATTTTTCATCAAATAAACACGAGTATAATCAGAACAATCATCAATAAAGGTGATGAAATATCGTTGTCCATTTCTGGTCAGCGTTCCATTATATTCACAAATATCAGAATGAATTAAATCTAACGGTTCTGAGTTTCTAACAACAGACTTATGAGGTGTTTTTGTAATCTTAGCCTGACTACAAAAATCACATTTATCAAAGTCATTGAGGGAAACATTAGGGATAAGGCCTAAATTGCTCATATTTTTTATGAGTCTTTTGTTCACATGACAGAGTCTAGCATGCCAAATATTAACAGAAGAAGACAACATATAAGCAGAATCAGAAATTTTATTAATCTCAACATTCAGTTTAAACATGCCATCAGTAGCATAACCTTTCCCTACAAACATTCCATTCTTAGTTAAAGTAAATAAATCGGAACCTATGGTTTGTGTAAAACCAGCCTTATTAAGAAGAAAACCAGAAACTAAGTTCTTTCTCATTTCCGGAGTGTGCAGTACATCCTTCAGAATGAGAGTCCTGCCAGAAGTAAACTTCAACTCAACATTACCAATACCAGCAACATTAGTGGAATGGGAATCACCCAACAGCACTTTCTTATCATCGGTGTTTTCAGAATAAGTTTTAAACATCCGACGATCATAGCAGACATGGCGTGTAGCGCCAGTGTCTACCCACCACCCTTCTGATCCACCAATAAGGTTGATCTCAGTAATCATAGCCACAAGTGGTTCTTCTATCATGCTAGCCTGTGGTACAGGGTTAGGCATGTTCCTGCACTTTCGTGCCATATGGCCTGGTTTTCCACACCTATAACATAGGAATTGACCAGTACCATTCTTAGGGGGTTGAATTTGTTGCTTTCCATCGTTCTTTTGAACATTCTGTTTATTTTTGTTGAAGTTATTCTTCCGGTTCTGAGGCTTGAAGTTCTTACCAGCGGGCTTGAGAACTGCAGCAGAACGCTTAGGAGCATTGTTTGCAGAGAGCTGTAAGACTTCTTCTTTCTGGTCCTGTTTTCTGGATTCTTCCTCTATACGGAGCCGAGTAATCAAACTCTCTAAGGAAAATTCCTTAGTCTTGTGCCTGAGACTGTTTTTGAAATCTTTCCAAGAAGGAGGCAACTTGTCAATTATAACAGCAATCTGAAATTGTTCATCAAGAGCCATACCTTCGGAAATTATCTCATGGGCAATTTTCTGAAGTTCGTGGGACTGCACTTCCACGGACTTATCATCAGTCATCTGGAATTTCAGGTACCTGCTAACAGCATACTTTTTGGCACCGGCTTCTTCGGTGTCATATTTCTTTTGCAGGGCATCCCACAAATCCTTAGCGGTGTTTTTCCAGATTATAATAGTCATACAGGTTATCAGACAGACCATTAAGAATATAGTTTTTGCACATGAAATCGGTTTCATTCCAAGTTTCAATTTCAGAATTCCAATACACTAGATCATCTTGTTCAGCATTATCAGGAATAACAGGCCTAGGGACAGTCAATACAGAATGAACTTTTTTAACAGTTAAGAAAAACTGCATTTTCTGTTTCCATCTTTTAAAATGAGCGCCTTCAAAACGGAAGGGCTTGTTAAGGTCATAGGACATAGTTATTTCCTCGGTAGACATGATGATTATAAAGGCAGAAAAGATTGTTCTAAAATTGTTATTAACCGAACTGCTGTAAACAATAAAAACATAACAAAGTTACCGGGAAATAGACTGAGTCGCGGACTATGTCGCTCTCTTTAGAACATTCACGGTACTGCCCTTTAATTTGTGCAAGCAGCTCGTACAACAACCGGATATTCCCCAGGATAAAACACCCTTCCTCTATTGTAATTATACCGGTGGAACTGCACAAAACCACCGGGCAACTAAACACCAAAAAAAGAAAAGAAACTGCTCGAGGGTTTTGTTTTTGTGAGGAAAAATAGAGAGGAGAAGAAGATTGCTTTCTGTATTTTTTTGTATATGAAAAACAGGAAATCAACACGCCTTTAATAGGAAAAATTGCAACGTAATTGCTGCTGTTTAATTAGGCACTAATCACGCAATTAAAACGGTCATAAGTTGAACGTTCAAAACGGTTACAGAAGATTAATGCGTGGCAAAACGTTTAGCAAAAAATCAGTGAAAACGTTTGCATGATTAACGCTCCATTAATCAGTTTTGAAAAAACGGTCAAATGTAATCAGTCAAAAACGTTTAGCAAAAATCAAGGAACTAATCACGCAATTAGCCTTGTCCAAAAAAAATAAGTTTATTTAATAAACCCGACCCGACCCAACCCAACCCAACCCGGCCCGGCCCGGCTCGGCTCGGTTCGGCGCGCGTGTGTGTGATAGATGGTTTACCATATAGGTCCTCCCTCTCCACAAAATGTGGGTAGCCCAAGGGCCACATCCCTTTAGCCCACTCTCTATATTATAAAGAGAGTAAAACTCTCATTTCCCACCAATGTGGGACTTTGAGTTTTTTCACAAAATTCACACACTACACACTTGTTGTTCCAACAAAACCACCATCACCGAACCCCCCTCCCCCGAAATTCCTCTTCCTCCTCACGAAAACCCACAAAATCCCCTTCTTTTCTTATGAAAACCCGCAAAACCCCTAATTGTTCCCTTTCCCACCCTCAAAAACCCTAGCTGGTAGGGTTTCATTGGTGGAAGAAGGGGCAGTTGGGGGTTCGTAGGGAGGGAGGGGGATTTCGTGGGTTTTTGAGGTAGGTGGAAGTCGAAGAAGGGAGTGGGTGGGGAAGCCGGAAATGTTGTCGCCGGCACGGGGAGGGATTAAGGCGCCGGTAGGGTGTCGTCGGAGGGCTGGGCACCGGGGAAGGGGATGGGCTGGGAGAAAAAGGGGTGGCTGGTGGGGAGGGATTTTTTTAAAAAATAATAATAATAAAATTTAAATATTTTAAAAAATAAAAAACATTAAATAAAAAAAATCAAATTAAATTGTCAAACCAATAAAAAAAATGACACGTGTCCCATATACCTATTAATTAAGTCACTAACAGGTCATAACTTGTTTAAAGCGGATACCCCTCAAAGTTTGTATTATTTAGAAATAATCAAAAGTTTGACTTGTTTTTTGGCGGACCGCTCAAAATTGTATTAATTTTGACAATTTTTCCAAATAAAATAATAGTAATCAATACAACGTAGAAATAAGGGTTAATTGACAAAATTGATACATGTAATTCGTAGCTTAGCTTCTTTCTCAATATAGTATATGAGACTAGTTTGATCATATCTTATAGATCTTATTTTGTTACAATGTGAACTTCAAAATTTTAGGCAAAATCTCATGAAAAGATAAATGATTTATTTTATGAACCACTTTGGATTATGTACAAAATGTTAAGCCAAATTGATACAGTAATAAAACTAGATAGAATATCTTCATACATCCATGTAAAAAAGTTAGATTGTTCGTCATAAAGTTAACCAATTCTGGTTATGAGGTCTAATTAATAAATTATGATAGATGCGAGCCTGATAACAACTATTATTTTGGGTGTGTTATACAAATCAAAATCTTTCATTTTACATAAATCATATCACATCAAATATTATTTCTCAAAATCATCTTGATTTTGTGTTTAACCTTTTTTTTAGTATAAAAACAAGAGAAAAACCAAGTATGATTCAATCCATCGGCAAAAAGGTAACTTTAAATACTTTTCTTCAATAATCTCTTTTCCCTGTATACATTTTTTTTTGCACGAAATTATGAAGAGTTGATCTCTATTCAAATTTCATTATTATACCAAGGATAATTGTAATTTAATACAAGCAAGTGAATATTGGCTAACAATAATGCATGTGTTTAACTTAGAATTGAATTTTTCAAAATTTATCATTTTCATATAATAAATATATTATTCTTATATGGGCTAATTTTTCTTCTATATTTATTATGTTTTTATTGCTAATATATATGTTGTTTTTGTGTTTTTACAGATATGTCTGAAATGAATGGAGATAGTAGCATGAGTGATGCGAAGAAATTTACAGCTTTAGTCGTAGACAATAACATTATTGTTCAAAAAGTTGAACAGATGTTTCTCAGTAAGAAAGGATTCAAAACTAAGATCGTGAAAAATGGCCAAGAGGCCGTTAACATTTTCAAGGAGGGTATTTCTTTTGATGTTGTTATCATGGAAATGAAATTGCCTATAATGGACGGGATTCAGGTAATCATTTGTTTACTATCTTGATACCTTTCTTAGTGTTATAAATAATTTAATGTCAATGTTAACAACACCACTACTAATGACCTAAGGCTATATATTAATAATAAAATATTCAAAAGTGCGATTAATAAATCAGTTATGATAATTGTAATATTTTGGCATAATTAGAAAATAGATAATAGAATACTAATTGGGTAATAGTATAAATAAAATAATTTTTTATGCACACTATATGTGCGTGATTTTTAAAATATGTTATACGTAATGTAATCAATATTAATAAATTCATATTAAATATTGTAAAATTGTTATCCTACCATTTTTAAAAGTATTTGATTTTTTTTTTGTAAAATTATAGTTTAAATTTTTTTAAAAGTTTAATGATATTAAATCATCATGATAGGGGTTTTAAAAATACATGACAAACTTTAAAAATTTATGAAAAATCTAATTTCTTTTGTCATATACTACGTACTTTGTAATATTCTATAAATGCTAAATTATTAATTATTTTACAACAATATTTATTTTAGTATTTAGTCATAGAAAACTTACTCCTTCTATTTTATATTGTTCTTTTCACTTAGAATCTTTATTTTTGTGAGACAATAATATTGGCCAAAGTGGGAAGAACAATATTAAAGTGAAGGGAATAATATTTTTAATTAATTGCCACAACATAATATAATTTTGTCTTTTGAAATTTTTATTATGCATTATAATATATAGATGTGATACATTGAATGTTTATTGCAAAAGTGATCAGTCGATTTAACAATAACATTTATGAGTATGATAAAAAAGATCAAGATTTATAGCTAAAATATTCTTTATAATGTGTAAAGGTATACGGATTAGAGTAGCAAAGAAGATATGAAAATAACATTTTGTCTCTTTGGTTCATGTATGCAAAATATTAGAAATGTAAATTTTTAAATTTGATCATCAATAACTATTAAAAAAATATAACTATGAAAGCTTGAAAGTAAGGGCGAAGTTTTTAATTATATAGTTAGTAACCAATTAATTACAACCAATTCAACCAATAAAATGGATTACATCTACAAAGTATGCGTAACATAAAAAGATGATTATACATGCATGTGAAAGACAAGAGAGGATGTGTTTTGAGTGATTTAGATGAGAAGTGATCGAATTGACTTTATATAGTAGATAATTGATACTTATTTTTGGCATTGATTATAAAATATATAATAAAATATTAATTGGCCAAAAGGATATATATAAGAACCATTCGAGATAAATCATATAAAATTTTCCCTAACGTTACATGAAAATTTGGTATGTTTAGTTTAATTACCAATATATATAGCAAAAAAAAACCTTTACGTTAACAATCTTGTTCATTCCCCGTTTTCTAGATTAACAAGAATAAATTTGATGTTTGTAGTATTCCAGTAAAGGTAATGCATGATAATTGAATGGAGAAATTTATTACCCTTGCGATCTTAACTTATAAGTATTAATATATATATATATATATATATATATATATATATATATATATATATATATATATTATATTAATTTTTAAATTGGTTCTTTTATGTAAAGGCAACAAAAGAGCTGCGAGCTATGGGTGTTAAGTGCTTAATATTTGGCATGACTACTTCTGAATCAAAGTCCAACATTCAACCATTCATAGAAGCTGGTTTAGATGAATGTTTTTCGAAGCCACTGGATTTTGTGATGATTGATAACGCTCTTAAGCGCCTCGGAAAGTGATACTGAAAAATAATTAGTACAACATATTAAAATGAAATAAGTAAACTATGCTTAATAAAGTATGTTTGATATTTGCTACTTAAATGATGTACTCTTGGTTTCGATATGTTGTTTCGTGTTGTTTTCACAGCTTTCAATCAACACATTTATGATTAAACAATATATAAAGTTTCATATATTGAAGAGTACAGATTATTATTAAATCAATCATGATCACACATAATGATATTTTTTTCCTTATATATTACTCCCTCCGTCCCCGAAAGAACGACTCTTTTGGGTTGATTTTGCGGGTATTAAGAAAGTTAAATTGGAAGTATAAGTGTATGGGGAAGCTAAGAAAAGTACATTGAAAAGAGAATTTTATATTGGAATTGCAAAAAAGTAGAGAGAGAAAGTAATAAAAGTATATAGAAAAAGCAAAATTTGCATGGGGAAGCTAATTTTGCACAAATATTATTGCAAATTAGTGGGTATTAAAATGCAAATGGGATGAACATTTTGGGACTAAAATTAGGCCAAAAGGGTCAAACTTTTGGGGACGGAGGGAGTAGTTAGAATATACGATCAAAGAAATGACTTTAGTTATCTAACCTCCTTTCTCTCTCCTACACTTTAGCCTCCATTGTAAATTTTGAAGGGGCTTCCATCGGATTTCACCGGTGGAAAGCCCCAATTGTTGTTTCGTTTAAGGTTTTTTAATTTTTAGGTTATAATAATTTCTCCCTCGAAAGAAAGGGTTTATCTCCTACGAAAGACAAGGTTTTTTCGATCTCCTTCGAAAGAAAAGATTTTTTAAACTCCTTTGAAAGACAAGGTGTTATTTGCGTTTGATAGGGTCTCTAATTTTTCGGGGTACGATTGATTATTGCTTGAATTCAGTTTACAAAATCATCGGAAGAAATTTCTTCCTCACAAAATATTGAAGAGTCGACGGATCCACTCAAAAAGTTGTATGAGACAACGAATTGAGAATACGCCGAATTGTTATATCTATGTATTTGGATTCTTAGCACTTCTCTGATTAATTCTTGTTTGATTTTGTTAAATCTGTATTCATCATCATTATTTATCAATTGTAGATGTCATATGACTTTAATTAATGAAATTTATTGTCCTTTGGACTTCTTTCAAAAAAAAAAAGAATATACGATCAAAGTTTTTGGCCCAAAAGGATTAGTTTTTATTAGAAACACGTAAATTAAAGAACATATTGGACAATAGAGTATTATTTATCTTCTAAGCTATATACAAAATAGGGTTGATTGAGATTTTACAAGTTCAAGTATTAACATATCTTTTAGAAGATTATTATACATACTCAGGTTTTCATTCTATTCATTTTATAAATTTCTATGAAATATGCATTTCATTTTATGTAGTTTGAGAATTAAAATTGGTTAACCAATAATTAGTAAACTAAATTTTGAGCATTTTACTTTTTTTTTTCTTTGTATTTCACATATAATTTACTACCTTCGTTTCACAATTTTTGCAACTTTGGAGTCTACACTAACTCCTAGGCAAAAAAATGAGAAATGGAGATTAAGAAAAAGGAGGAGCATGTGATTAAGAAAGGAGAGAGAAATTGGGGATAGATTAATAATTAACCACCCTCCATAACACCAGCCATACAAGCCACCATTCGCAGCACCACCTAGTACCAGTCGCCAACACCAGCCTCATGGACACGCCCAACCACCATACACCCCACTCACCACCACACCCAAAACCTAAAACCCATCCCGTAGCCACCAAACACCCACACAAGCCCGAAACCATCTACCCACCTCGCTGCAACCATACCACCCAAAACCTAAAACCTAACCCACAACCACCACACAGCCACCCCGTAACGCCCCCACACTAACCCAAATCACTTGCCTTTAGCCACCCACCGACCACCTCTAGACCACCAACCCTCATCGAAATAACCATCGACCCACCTCGCCCTAAATTCATTGGAAATTGGTGGTTCAACCACCACCATTTGCTGCGAACTTTCCATCACGTTGTCCAAGCGTAGATCTCCGTCACCCCGATGGTCTGTCTTCGTGGGAAGAGAGATATGAGGGGTCAGATTGAATGATAGAGAAAGAAACTATGGAATTGAAGAAGAAGAAGAAGAACTTCAAGAATTGGGTTTGAATTCTAGAAAGATTTGATGATAGTTGAATGAATTGATTGGTTAGGTAAAGGGAATGAATTAGATTCGGGGTAAATAATTAGATTAATTAAGATAATTTAGTATTTTATTAAGTTTTGTTTTAAGTTACTAATTCAGTTCATGAAAATTTTAGTAAGGGTGTTTTAGTAATTTCATTTAAAAAAACTTTACTAAAAATGGAAAAATTTGAAAAGTTGCCAAAAATCTATAGCGGACTTTTGTGGCAAAAGTTGCAAAAAATATGAAATGGAGGTAGTACAAGAAATTTATTACACTACAAATTACACAAATTAATGGGTAAAAAATTAACACATTTGGCGGCTAATTAGCAAAAAAAAAGTGTGATATTATTCCAATTTTTTCATTTACCTATTTGCACTGTTTTACATATAATCTATGTAACTTTTCAAAAATATGCGAAGAATATGATTTGAGTAAATGAAGAATGATTATGCAAAATTTTGTTGTCTGTGTGATTCTGTACATTAAAGTTTATAAATTTATACACACGTCTATTTTTGTGGCTAACTACTTTAAATTAGCTTAATGAAGATTGTTATTTATGCTTTGTATAGTGAAGACAAAACATACAAAGATATCTTAATCTTCTTAGCTAATCTATCTTAAAATTTTAAACCCTTTACATTCAAAAACTCTTACATTGATATATATTATGTCACATAGTCTTACAAGCTATGATTATTATGGTTATAAATTATTTTTTTTAGTTGAATTTGTATATGTGATAGAAGTTTAAGGACATTTTGATTGAAGGAAAAAAGAATGTGAAAAAAAGCGAAGTATTAAGATGGTTGTGGGGCCATTCCAAAAAAAAAAAAAAAAAAAAAAAAAAAGTGATATATAATATATTTCCTTAGAAAGGTTTTGGTCTCACTTTTAATTACTCAGGTTATTTTTTTTTCTTTTTTAAGGGAATTGGTCGCAAAATGGCTAAAAATCGAGCGAGCCTGTTGTCACTCATTGGTTATTTTAGCCACCTTAGGATTATTTGCTTACTGTGAGGAGGGTGCCCGCCCAGTAGGGTTTTCCCCCGATGTCCGGGCCCTTTAATTTAAAAGTCCAAGGCTTATGTTGTGAGGATTTGTTTGAGAAATTAAACTTGAAAAAGGGAGGAGACGAGTTATATTATCTCTATTTTTAAGTGTATTGTGTAAAAAGTCGTCAATAAGTTTAGGAAAACATATAAATTCTATTTGTACCTCCCCCAAGCAGTGTGCAAAGGGGTGTTTTAATGCGAAACATGGGCTTTCCCTCTAATTCTTAAGAAGCATTTCCCATCAAAGGTCAATTGCAACCAGAGATAATTCAAGAGCGAGGGTTTTAGAAAGTCATTCTTTCAAAATGATCATTCTAGCACAAATAAGACCTCTACTAGCTCTTCTTATTCACAATTTCATTCTTAGGCAAATGTGTGCAACGCTATATCCTAATTACTAAGCTAGTTCATTTTATACACAAAATAAGATCCACAAATATCTACATTGCAACAAAGTCGTTATTATTTTTGTTATTATTTCAAACGTGAAAATGGAATTAAAATAAATAGGATTCGTTTGACCTATAAAGTGAAAAACAAATAATTTATTCAAAATTTTAGTCATATTAACACAAGAGTCTAGGTGGATAAATTATTTAGTCTTGTATTAAGATTATCAAACAACACTAATCAATTGATTAGTTTTTAAAATAAATAAATGATTTATCCAAGTGCTCAGTAAGCTTATCGTTACTCTTTACTATACCTCCGTTTTGTGTGTTTATGGACCTCTTTTTATTCCGAAATCTCTAACGACTTCAATGTATTAATTAGGGTTAGGTATTGGGCAAAAAGTGGAAATGTATTATAATAATATGAAAAAGGGGATATGTATAACAATAATTCGTATTTTTCTCACCGTTTCTTGGTTGATTTTTCCATTTTTTGCTGTGATTTTAGGCATAACCAAGACCCCTATCTATAGGTTTAGGGATTTAAGGTTAGGGTTTAAGAGACACTACATCAAGTGGAGAGTGCAACGTCAACTTTGAGAGTCACTCTTGCTTGCGCACTATTTACCTTTTTTCGAGTGTTCAAAATAGTTGTTTTCCAAAACTTCAACAACTTTTGATCCCGAACTTGGAATAAGGCAAATAATATATCATTGGAAAGCTCTAGAAGTGTATTCTCCAATCCAATTAGAATTAGGTCATAATGTTTTCTAGATATTAAGATACGGTTGAAATAGTGCATGCAAGGGTGTCGGTCTTGGGCCCGATTTAGTATTTTGCTCATATCTCTTTAGATTTAAATCGAAATTAGGCTTATATTATATCATTAGAAATCTTATTGAAATTGAAGGGCTATCCGTATTCCATACATACATGTCTTACACGGAAGTTATTGGCACTATATTTGATCGTTTTGGTCCAAAACAGGGCTGGCAATGGATCAGAGGAGGATCGGGTGGAGCTCAATCCACCTCTATCCGCCAACAATCCATCCGTCATCCAATCCATCCATCACCATTTAACTCTTCATCCACATCCAATCCGTCCATCATTCGTGGATGAATCGGGTGAATGATGGGTGAAATAAAATACACCATCGTTTATTTGTAATACTAATATACATAAACTAAGAATTTGATATATAGTTGACAAAATCTTTAAATTTCACAATATTCACATTATTATACGAAGTCTAAATAATATTACTACTATATATAAAGTATATGTTTGTGTAGTATTACAAATAGGTAAATAAACATTGATAAATTTCTAAAAAATATAAGCGGATGGATGGATGGGTTGGGTGACGGACGGATGACGCTCCACCCGAATCCGACCCGATCCGTCACCCAATCCATCCACCATCCATATAAAATCCGTGTTTTGTCGGATTTTCATCCATTTAATTGGATCGGGTGTATCCATGGGTTCTGGTGAAATCTAGATTAGACATGTATTAGGCTTAAGTAGTTAATATGAGGATCATAATTTAAAAAGTTTTGGACTCAAAAAGGGGTTTCAAATCACTTACATTATATTCTGAAGTCTATAAACACTCTAAATTTGATCTAGCTTGAAAAGTGGGTTTTTGTCTCATCATTACACTTCCATTTTGGGACAAGAGACCAAAAGTAGATGTATACACTTACCAATCATGTACAATAGTCTTATTTTCATGAGTCATACAAATTGTGATGAATAAATTCCAATCAACCTACAGTACTTGGGTTTTAAGGGTGGAGTGTAGGGATGTGTACATAAGGTTCGTAGATCGGTCCAATACAGTCTGATAAATAGGTAGACCAAAAATTTCAAATTTCGTGGACTAAAGATCGAACATATAAATAATTATGGACAAAGATCCAAGTTTGATGAAAATCTCATTTAAATCTGGTTTTGGACTAGAACTATTATAATTTTTGTAAATGCACCGAACTTTACTTTAAAGGCTTTCTTAATACAAGTCGTTTTGTTCACCCTCTTATTTCCTTTCCTCTTATAGTGTTTGCAAACAACAAAATCAATATTAGTATTCTAATATAAGCATATATATTGATCACAAATGCTTATTCTATTCCAATCAAATAAAACAAAGTGTACAATTAAAAATAGTTAGTAAGTCGATTTTAAATACTCAGTAGTTAATCTTAAATGCTCTTTAATTGATCTAAATATGCATGGAGTATTTAAGGCGTCAATTGAGGTGCACCTACTTTATTAGCATGTGTGATATGCTTGACAATCATAGGAAGTTTGATTTGACTTATACAAAAGGGACAAGGGATAAAGTAGGGATGAAGCCGTCAACAAGTTCTAAGGAACTTGTAAACTGTTCATAACTTTTACCGAAGGGACAAGAGAACCATAAATTTTGATCCATGAAGGTTACACGCCATTCATAATCCATGATTTTACTAACTCTTGTCAAGAAACACGACTGAAGGTACATGGATGAATTAAAGGTAGGAAATTAAAATAGCGAAAAATATCAATATTAATCATAATACTATAAAGACATAAGGAATAGTTGATAAAATGGATACATATAATTCCAGTTTCTTTCTCAATATAGTATATAAGACCGGTTTGATCATATATTGTAGATTTTATTTTGTTATAATGTTAAGAACTAAACTTTTTAGGCAAAATCTCGTGAAAAGATAAATGATTTCATGAACCACTTTGGATTTATGTATAAAATATCAAGCCAATCTGATGTAGTTTAAACATCAGATAGAGTATTTATGTAATCCATGTAAAAGGGTTAGATTATTTGTCATATAGTTGATTAATTTTGGTTATGAAGTCTAATTAATAAATCTTGATAGATACAAGGCTGATAACAACCACAGATTATATTATTCTGGGTGCGTAATACAAAATCAAATCAACATACTTTTTATTTTAATTAAATCGTATCACGTCGGATTTTGTTTCTCAAGACCATCTTGATTTTGTGCTTGACACTTATTTCAATATAAAAGCAATAAAAAGACCAAGTAGGTATGCTTCAATTCAATTCATCGGCAAAAAGGTAATCCTAAATACTTTTTTTCAAAATTCTCCCTTCCCTTAGATTTATAGTGTGCTTTAATAAAAAAAATGGTAATTAGGAAGAGTTGATCTCTAATCAATGTCATTATTATTAACCTAGGATAATTAATATTAAATACAAGCAAGAATATTGGCTAGCAATGCATGTGTTAAAACTAGAAGTGAATTTTTAATTATTTCAAAATTTAGTCCTTTTCATGCGATAGATGTATTATTCTTTTATGGGCTATACCCTCTAATTTTTCTCCTATACTTATTGTGTGTTTTTCAGACATGTCTAAAACGGTTGGAGATAGTAGCATGAATGATGCGAATAAGTTTACTGCTTTAGTTGTAGACGATAACGTTGTCATTAGAATGATTGAACAAATGTTGCTTAACAAGAAAGGGTTCAAAACTAAGGTCGTGAAAAATGGTCAAGAGGCCGTGAACATTTTCAGTGAAGGCAATTCTTTTGATGTTATTATCATGGATATGGAAATGCCGATTATGGATGGGATTCAGGTAATCTTTTTTGTATAATCTTAATGCCTTTCTTAATGTTATATATGTTGATGTTGACATCTCTTTTAATGATCTAAGGCTATTTATAAATTAGTTATGATAAATATAACATTTATTTGACATAATTAGGATATAGATAAAGTACTAATTGGGTGATAGTATGAATAAGATGATAAAATTTGAATCATATATAAAAGATAAAATATATTATATGTATTTATTCCTAATATTAATTACCAATTATAAAAAAATCCTTTATATTCAAGATCTTTATTTAATAGTCGCAGTCGGGTTCATTCCTCATTTTTCAGATTAAAAAAAATTAATGTTTGTAGCATTCCAACTAAAGTAATAGACTATAATTTCAATGGGAAAATTATCATCCTTGCATTATTACTTAATTATGAATAATAATTTCTTTAATATTTATATTAATTTTTAATTTAATTCTTTTATGTGAAGGCAACTAAAGAGTTACGAGCTATGGGTGTTAAGTGCTTAATATTTGGCGTGACGAGTTCTGAATCAAAGTCTGACATTCAATCATTTGTAGAAGCCGGTTTAGATGAATACTTTCCAAAACCACTGGATTTTGTGAAGATTGATAACATACTCAAGCACCTCGAAAAGTGATACTAATAGAAATTTGGCACAACAAAATGAAATAAGTAAACTATGTTTATAGTATTTAATACTTAAATATTGTACTCCTGGTTTAGATATGTTGTTTCGTGTTTTTTTTTATTTTTTTATTTTTAAAGTTTTCAATCAACACATTTATGATTAATCTATACAAAACTTCATATAGTGAAGAGTACATATGATTAAACCTATCAAAATCGCACATAATGATATTTTGCTTCTTATACATTAAATAGAATATACGATCAAAGATTTAGCTCTAACCGATAAGTTATTTTTAAACGCATGAATTAAAGAAAAGAGAGGCGAAGAGAGTATTTATCTTCCCACCAATTTAAAAAATAGGCTTTCGATTTTGCACGTTTATGTATCAGCATATCTTTTGGAAGATTATAACAAAAATTTAGTTTTTCATTCTATGTAACTTATAAATTCCTAAGAAACTAAGGGTAAAGAATGTGCACAAATTAAAGCGTGCGCCATGGCTAGCCATATATACCCAGAACGTTTTTTTGGTTTGGCCTTATTGCCGGCATTAATATAGGAAAATACGTTAACAATTTTTTTTAGCATATAAATTTTCATACACTATTCTTAAGAGTTAAAATAAAGAGTCAATATACTTTAATGAGGGCAAATAAGTAAATAAATATATTAAGGGGCATAATTGTCTCAATACTATTAATAAAAATAGAACAAATATAACTTAAGGGTAAATATGTAAATAAGTATTTTAAGAGGCATAATATCTTAACAGTATTCATAATTTAAAATTAAGTAACAAATATAAGGGTAAATATGTAAACAAACATTTTAAGAGACATAATTGTCTTAACACTATTCGTAAGTGTTTAGTCATACTTTTAAAAAGGTAGGGATATGCATTTCGCTCGATGTAATGTGTGAATAAAAAATGGTTAGCCAATAATTAGCAAACTAAATTTTTTTAGTATTTTACTTAATTTTCATAATTTTTTTTTTTAAAAAAAAGTATTTAGAGAGCCACAAGGACAAGTGATGAGAATCGATCCCAAGATCTCCTGGAATCGGAAGGGGAGCTCTAACCACTTGAGTTATATCCCACTCTCTAATATTCATATATAACTTATAAGAAATTTGTAAAGTGCAAATTATACATTAAGTTATAGTGCGGACTATATATTCTGGGAAAAAAAATAACACATTTGGTTAGCTAAAAAACAGTGTGTTATATTTTCTTTTTAATTATACCTATATTTTCACAATTTTACATATGGTTTGAGTAACACTATTATAAAAATATGTATTCGATGATTTGAATAAATTAAGAATGATTATGCAAAAGTAAGTTGATGTGTGTACGTGTATTAAATTAAGTTTTTAAATTTATCATGTCTTCGATCCTTTTTTTCTACATATCATTGGAGTGTTGGTTAATATTCTACATTTTACAATAATGATTATAAGGTTGGGTTAAAGCAGTGATGACTACAAGAAAATCATCAAACTAATATACTACTCTCTCTTTTCCCGAATAATTTGACACACTTGCTTGACTTTTTTTTTCAACTTCATCCATCTTTGTTTGTTATTACATAAAAGGTTCATTTTGACAATCCCAACTTTATGGGGTGCTTACTTTCTTTGGGCCCAACCAATCATTACAGATGGGCCCAACCAATCATTACAGGGACATGTGTGATATGTCAACACGTAATTGCTCAAATAAATAAATAAATAAATAAATAATATATTAAAAAAGGAAAAATTAAACCACCCTTCCCTAACCCCATTGTTGGCAGCCACCACCTCCGCCCTAACCCGGTAGCCCCACCTCAAAACCACCCCCTCCTTAACCCTACCACCAAAAACCAACCCCTCCTAGGTCCAGCCCACCCCCCCCCCCCGAAAACCACCCATATCCCAAAACCCCCACCCCACCCCCGGCCACCACCGAAACCTAAACCCCACTCTGAAACCCTTCCCTTACCCTCGGAAACCCAAATCCCTACCCTTGAAACCCTTCCCTCACCCTTAAAACCTTTCCCATACCCTCGAAACCCAACCCCAGCCAACTAAAAAATCCAGTGCTGGTGGTGTTGGAGGTATATGAAAAAAAAAATCGATCAGCTGTCGAAGGTGGTCTGATCGAGGTAGGGGAGGGGGGAGATGGCTTGACGGAAAATTCACCAGCGAGGGGGGCGAAGGGTGGTGGAAATGGAGGAGAGAGAAAAGGTTAGGGGAAAGGAGGAGAGAAAAAAAAATTACAAAAAATAAATAAATTAACTTGTTCATCATGTTACCAATCATCCGGGCTTAATAAAAATAAACACCCCCTTAAAGTTAGATTATTCTATAATAATCCGTCGGTATATACAAGTATTATTATAAGTAAATCAGCTAAAATTGGAATTTTACAAGTAAATCAGCGAAAGTTGGGATTTTAAAAGTACATCAGCCAAAGTTAGGATTATTTGAAATTAATTTTCCTAAATAAAATATAATGTTAATAAGTAAGTTGTTAGATTTATCTTAATGTATATTATTGGAATAACGAACAATATATTATCTTTTGAATGCATGGCCTGTTAGATATTGCTATTTAAAAAAAGGAAAAATACACTTTAATAATCCCAATTATGGGCGATTTACTTCTAATAATCCCAACTAAGGTTTATTATCTAATAATTCCAACTATGGGGTCAATTTTCCTTTAGTAGTCCCAATGACCGGTAACCTGCTAAAAGGGTAATTTTTTTTTTTTTTTAAATTCACGTGTCAGCATGTAATTGCTTCAAATTAAAATAAAAATAAATAAATAAAAACCCAAAACCCATTCCCAGCCACCCCCTCCCCCATTGTGAAACCCTAGGGCCTAATGCCAGGCCACCGAAAATCGGTCGCCGACCTCCCCTAACCCTGCGCAAAATGGCCGACCGACCTTCCCAACCCCCAAAACCATCAGCCATTTGTGCAACGATGCTTGGGTGGAGCTACGAGTTGTGTGGCTTGGTTGTAGCTGCAGGCTGCTATGGTGGTCAGATTTGTGTGTGGCTGGTAATTGGTGTTTGGTTGGAGCTGCGGGCTGCTATGGTGATCGAATTTGTGCGTGTCTGGTAATTGGTGCTTGGTTGGAGCTGCGTGCTACTGTGGTGGTCGGATTTGTGCGTGGCTGGGTTAATTGCTGAAGGTTGGTGATTGGTGGTGTGGCTAGGTGATTGTGGGATTGATTGGTGGTGGTGTGAGGCTTGGCTGGGTGTTTCCGGCGGTTGGGGAGGAGTTATAAGGGGTTTTAATTTTTCAAGAGGGGATGGGAGGAGTGTAATGGAGGGTTATGGTGGTCAGGCTGGGGGGTATAGCCGGCGCCGACAATCGGGGGAGGGGAATCGCCGAGGTCAGGCAAGGAGTGGGTGGTAGTGAGGTGGCTGGCGTGGGAAAGGGTGTTTGTTTATTTATTTTTATTTTTTAAAAAAAATTTCAATTTTTTTGGACCAATCACGTGTTGACACGTGGCTTGGTAACCTGTAATAAAAGGTTGTTGACCGGTTGGGACTACTACAGGCAAACTGACCCCATATTTGGGATTATTAGATAACAAATCTTAGTTGGGATTATTAGAAGTAAATCGGCAATAGTTGGGATTATTACAGTGTATTTTTCCTTAAAAAGATTCAAGAAGATACGTTACTCGATTCCCCATTCCCCAATCATCACTGACCAAGAGCGGCCTCAAAGTGATGAGGACTAGAGTCATCACCGAGAACCTAAGAAAACGAGCAAGGGAGAATCAAGAGAGGAACGTTGTCCTCTTTGATTGTGAGGAAGCTTTTTTAGGTGGAGAAGCCCAAAAAAGTGTAGGGAATGAGAATCATCATAATGTATTTTTATGCAAGTCAAGCAATGATTACTTCTCATTGGTTTTTAATTTTTTAATCCCGAGAAAGTTTCCAACCGGTCATGTGTAGTAAAGGCAATGAATTGAAGATGATGACCCAACTTCAATCACACTGCCCATCGTGGAAACCAACAACAAAGGGAAGAAGCTCATCCAAGCTTATGCTCACCTTGATTTTATCAATAAGTATCGTATTGAGACAAGAGGAAAGATTCAACCCCTTCTTCACTAGAATACTTCAGTCATCCAAGGAAGAAAAGGAGTTATGGTTACTATAGTTTGTTTAATGGTTGTAATATATCCTTTATATGTTAATGGTGCTAGCTGTAGTAATAGTTTAATGGAGTCTGTAGCCCGTGAAATGGTAATAGGGTAAGGAAATTTTGACTTTTACCACCAAAAAACACGAAATTATTTTTTACCACCAAAACTACTCAAAGTTTTATTTTACCACCAAAAGAAATTCTAAAAATTATTTTTCACCACCTACCGTAAAAAAAACCATTAAACATAATGAATTTAAAAAATTCTTCGATTTTTGTGCCAAAGACATGCTTTTTAATGGTTTTGGTAGTCATGTTAGTCCTTTAGGACCGATTTGAGGTTAGAATTGACAATAAAATATCGTAAATGTCTCGTTTTGCGTTTAGGCAAAATGAAGTATTTACAATAATTTTTTTATCAATTCTGACCTCAAATTAGATGAATGACCTTCAAAACCTCAAAAGAACATGTTTTGGGCACAGAAATGGAAGACATTTTTTTTAAAACCGTTAGATTTAACGGTTTACTGACGTTAGGTGGTGAAAAACAATTTTGAGAAATTTTTTTGGTGATAAAATAAAACTTTGAAAAGTTTTTGTGGGAAAAAATAATTTCGAGTTTTTTTTTGTTTTGTTTTTTTTTTTTTTTTTATTTTGTGGTAAAAGTCAAATTTTCCATGTGGTAATAGTAGTGGCTCAGTCTTTTTACATTGTGTTGTAAGTTGTAACCGGCTAATCGCCGCCTTAAGAAAGGGAAAAAAAAATTAGTAAGAGCATCTCCAATGGTTTATTATAGGGACTTGCTTGCAAATTTAAAAAGTACCAAAGCAGTAGCTTGACCATTGGAACAACATTGACAGACCTGCTTCAATGAGCAACATTGCTTGAAAATTCAGCAAATAAATTTTTTTTTTAATTTAAAAAATAATACAAATTAATTTCCATTAATTGGAATACTATTGTGTGTAAAATAGTTTGGCATGCAAAGTGCTACGGTGTAGATAGATAAAACGGTTATTTCATGAAATGCCACTGAGCAATTGCAAAATTCACCAAATGTCATCCGACTTTTCAAAATTCACCAAATGCCACCGAGTTTTAACAAAATTCACCAAATGCCATTTCCGTTAGTTGACCGTCAATGTCCGTTAGT